CATTCAGCTTACCATCTATGTATATTCACCCGAGTTGCTGGTTCAAGCATCAATAGTTGAGCTGCAGACTTGCCAATACATTATGTTATTTATGGTCTATTACCCATCAAAGCATCAGAGATAAATGTTGTTATATATCAAAAACCTTTAGCATGAGTGAAATTTTCATCATATGACACCTGAGATGCAGTTGCAGATTCTAGTTCCAGAAATAAAACCAGGAAGCCATGAAGCTGACATGGTGCTTTAAAGAGCACTGATAGTAAACTGATGTTACTTTTGAGCCAATTTAATAACGATGAAAAGAGAAACATCTCCCTCCCTCCTCTAAAGATTCTCTAATTGCCTATTACTATCAAGTCTTCTGAGATTTTCACTAATAAAAAAACCACAGCTAAATTATCCTCTGTTGTATTGAAAATCTCAACTGTCAGGCCTTTTGCATGGAAATTACAAGAAAGAGGGAAGTGATGTTCCGTAGCCTTTCCTTAGGAGTCTCTATATGGTAGGGTTTCCTATAAGTATGAAGGAAAGAGGTAGAGTCCAAACAATATGATGAAATGACATTTGTAACAGAAGGAAGCGAAAAATTAAAGGTGGAAGAAATTAAAATTTCACTGGCTCAAAAAGGAAGGAACCAAACATTAACACAATCAGTTATTACAATGGTTTTTTTCATTTCTACACAATAATACAAAGGGTTTGGCTATAGGTGTTCAAAATCATAAGGACCTTAATTTAAAATAAGAGAAAGAAACCAACAGGTTATTGGAGGAAAAATCACTAAAAATATTTAAACCAATTATATAAACATCTATGCTGTTATTAAAAGATTAAAAACTACTACTATTATTTTTACAAATGTAAGAATTTGATGTGTATTTATTTTGAAAAATTGATATTGATTATGAAAAATTCAAAATATAGTGAAGTAAAAAATGTCATGTCTAATGTTAACTCAAACTCAAAAGTTCTTTCTAAATGTTCAACTGTGTAAAATTCCTCCAATCTGAAAATCCTATTCATAGAGACAAAGAAAATTCCTATTTAATCCTCACATATGATCAAAGATCTTGATCTAAAAATTGGACCTTTTCTCTAATTATTTATGAATCATAAAAGATCTGTAAGCATTGAAGTGTATTTGTAATGCATAAGCTTTGTTCTGTAGAAGACTCATTCAAAGAAGCCCTCAAAAATTGTTATTTTTAATCATATACATAGCATAATAAATTATTTCCCCGTGGAATTTTCATTTATAGCTCTGTCAAAGTACAAAATAGTAATTTTTTCCTACTTTGAAACCCAGTGTTAAGAATTTTTTTGAGTACTTTTGGATCTGTAAAGTAGGATGTCTAATTTTCTAAAAATAAAATGACATCTTTTCATTCTATCTGTCTGTGCTAGCTACATTGAAATATATCTCACATGCTTAAACTATATGTCGCATGCAATATAACATAGTGACATGACAACTTTTAGCACTCAAGAACACCCTGAAATTCTCCAGAATTTATGCTTCAGTTCAAAACCTATTCAATAAATCTGTCCTTTCATAAACTTTTTGGACCAAAGGCAGCAAGAAATACTTTTTTTATGAAAAATTCATCCATAAAGAATGGAGATACCTGGAACTTAACGCCTCCTCCCTTAATTATGTAACACTCATATGTTGAACTAACTTGAGAAGAGGGTAAAATACTCAATGAAAAAATGTGGCAAAGAAATCAGAGAGTTTAAGTGGAGAAATTAAATTCAAAATTTATTCCTAGAGAAGTGTCATCTGTATTTGCTGTCCTAGCAAATATTTGTCTTACATTTGCAACTCTAGAGACCAGTGTGTTTTTCCCATCAAGAATTCATTGTCAGTTTTCAAAGGGAAGGAATCACTATATAATTTTCACTGACAGCATTTACCACAAATTCAAAAACAAACTATTGTTTGGAGACTGATATAAGAATGCAGGTGTGACCTCTAAGTAAAACAGTCAAGGAAAGAAGAAACACAAGCAAACTATGGGAAAGGAGATTGAAAACAAACAGAGCCTGATGTAAACACTTCAGTCTTTGTTCATACTATGAAATATAAATCCTGAGACTGGCATGATATGCTGAGTTCAACTCAGATAGCATTATATTTCTTTTATTTAGATTTTTGAGCCCCAGCAATAATGCAAATGTAGGAATGCGCCCCCTAATGACAGAGTGGCAAAACTAATCTTTGTCCCCCAAAAAAGGAAAGAAGCCCAGAAGCTTCTCTCAACTGTTAGGTGGAAAGCCACCTTATAGGGCCTCAAGGACTTCACCAAACACCAGAGAACATCTAATTGGATAGAAGCCAAAAAGTCCCGCCTGATCAATCAAGTAGAAAAGAACAGAACAAAAGAGAAGAGGGGCTTTTGTGTGAAGTGTTTCTACCAGGGACAGACCTCTGTACCTAGCTCAAGTTTTTCTATTTGTTATTTTGCCTTTATTAAACCTTTTTTGTTTCTAACACCACAGCAGAAGCCATCCTGCTTATTTTATGCCCCCAAAGCTGTAGCTGAGCTATCCTTGGGTGTATTAAGTGTTTTTCTAGGGCTTATGAGAACTGGCCCGGGACAAACAACTTAATATGCAAAGTGACTAAGTACTGGTTTCAACAGTTTATTTAAATCTTAGATTTATTTGGTACTTTTAATCTTTTATATAAATGGTGCATTTTCCTTTCTACACATATAATATACCAAAATTATACATTTCATTTATTTGTGGATTATGCATTTTACATGTTACCCTTGCAAACATATATACTACGGCACAGTGACCTTTCTCTCTGAACTTAACTGACAGATTAAAAAAAAACAAACAGAAAAAAAAATTCTAAAAGCATTTTTCAATAGATTTAAGTGCTATGGCAACTTTAAGAGCCATCTTTACTCTGTAGTCTATTTTAACTAGAAACTCTAGCTGAAAAATACAGAATCATTTAACCTTTCAAAATAAATAAATTGAGTTTATTAAATTACTTTACAGGAAATAAAACCTTTACGAGAACTTAAAAATATTCTCTTAGGGAAAAGAAGGGCTTGGAAACTAATGGAGCATGTGAAGTATGAAACATATGGAAACACCCAGTGTGGTAACTGGAGTCTGTCTGGATTCTTCACTAAATTCTTTCACCTCATTTTTGAGGTCTGAAGTGTTGCTTGATAGTAAAATGCACCTAATTTTACTAATAACATGCATGTAAATAAAGGGCACAGGTATATAAATAAATTGCATATATTCAAATAGATTGCATGTATTCAAATAGATTATAAAGTAAGAATTTATAAAAACCAGAGAAAAATTTAAAGCAAAAATTTTTAAATTGAGAGAGACTAGTGAAAATTATGGTCCAGATTAGGTAGCTGGACTACATTTTCCATGTGTACTAACAGAGAAAAAAGTCTCTAAACTTTTCTGACTCCTAAGTAAAATAATTTGAATAGAACAAAAAGAAATAAATGAAAATAAATTTTAATCTGCATTTAGTTGTATATTATTTATGGGAAAAAGACAACATATTTCATTCTGTGTTATGAAGAGGAAAGATGGGGAGAGCTACTGTTTCTGACACTTCTGCAACTTGTTCAAATGGATTTTATTTCAAGATTATCTTAGTGTAAAGCTTAGGAGGTCATACTAGAGTTTTCATAAGAATGCTTTAAGGCTGAATAATAAAAGGTGTATAAAACTGTGATTTATATTTGCTTCTGAATAAATATTTCCACAATATCTACCTCAATCTTGGAAAATTAGTTCCAGATGAGAATGTTACCTAACAAGCATCAAATCTAATAGTTTAACAGGCCTATGCACTTATTCGTGTGTAAAAATGCACATTTATCAAGACGAACAAAGAGTCCAGCTAAATAAGCTTGCTTTCTATGTGTGTGTGTACTAGGTATTATAAATACACACATTTAAAGATAACATAACTATAATACTCCCACACATTCTTCTTAAATGTGTGAAGCCAGGCATACTCAACATCTGTTGCAACACCAATACCAGATTATCACTTACTAGAAAAGCATGAAGCACAACCTTCCTAGTAAATACGAATAATTTGATTAGCACATGTTTCAGCCCATCTGCTGAAATCTTAAAGCAAATTGAAACAAGATAAGTAAATATTTTTTTCAAGTGATTCATGTTGGTTTTTGCCATCATTAAGAGATTCCACTTGAATTAACTAGTCTTCTATTTATTTGAAATGACAGTGATGTGCAGAACATGTTTCATCTCAATCTTTGACCTCGTGTCTATAGAGAAAATGCTGTCAAACAATTCACCTAAATAAGTGCAGAAAGGAACAATGACATAATTTTTAAATTTATGAAATTTTTATAAGAGACTGAATTCAACTGGCATGACCAACTGAAAAAGCACGTGTTGAAGAATCTGAAGTAATAGCTTCCTTAATCAATTACAGCGAATTGTAATGTTATCTGGTGTGACATTGCTTTGTTTTATCAGTATATGTTGACATTTTTTCTTTCTTCCTGTACTTTATTGTTAAAATTTCAAGAAAGATGAATATCAAATGTGTGTGTTTACACTACATGCAGAGAAATTTCTATTAGACAAAATCTCAGATCCACCATTAGAAAAGGAGACCTGACTTGTAGAAAGATGAATATCAATGTTATAAAACAAAATTTTGTTATAAAACCTCTTACATATGCTCTCATAAATAAATTCTGAGTACTCTTTATTTCATATCTTGACTTAGACACATTCTACAGAAAAGCTAAACCAAAACAAACACTGCCAATGGGCAAAACAGAGATGCTTTATTTTACAAATTCTACACTAAAGAAATAATGGATACCAATCTACTTGCATCAATTCTTAAAACACCTGCCTTTCAAAAACAGTAGTATTCAAATGGAATTATCATAAAAGTTTTACAATTTTTATAGAAAGGTTTGAAAACTACATACATATTTAAAAGCTTGTAAAAGTTGACTTACATGATCAATTAATTCACGAACCATTCCATTCCACTGTCCGCTGGCATCTTCTTGGGCTCCATATTTTCCATCTTCCACCAGCCTAATCTCATAGGAAAATCCAAGGATAGTAGACAGCTCCCTGAGAAGGTCAATGCAATAACCTTCAAAACGATCATTTCCATACAAGGGTTTGTCAGACTTCTTGAACATAACATACGGCTCCTCCTGTAAGAATCAAGACAGAATGGATAATGAGTTCCCCCACACCTTTCTTCTCATTTTAGCCTTAAGAAATTGACACTCATATGCTTACATATGCATACACTCATGACATCACTCCCTGAACAACGAAATAATATGAAAATCAGAATCTTTTTAGCTTTGGCTGTGTGTGTCTGAAGTCTTCATATATTTTCAAAGATTCACTTTGTCTTTCTTTTTTTGGAAAAAAAATTACACTCTCAACACTGTAGACATGTCTTCAAGGAATGTATGTACACACTAAATTTAAATGTGCTCCTTAACTATTTGCATTATACAGTAACATAAAATGTATTGATTGGATGGACAACGTAAGCCTTTTAAAATGCAGAAACAATGTGCAAAAGCTTTCATTAAAACTAAAAAAAAACATTAAATATTTTAGGTATTAGATTTTACACTTTTATTTATACAAGTATTTAAACTGTTTTCTCGATGCTTTCTTAGGCAAAGCATAAAAAACTCACATGGCAAGGAAAAAGTCAGTGAAAGCACCTACTTTATTGCCTCAAGTTATAGGCTGCCATTTACAAGACTGCAGCAAAACCTGAGAACCTTTACTCCAAAAGTAAGTTCTATGATAGACATTCCATGAAAACTGAATTAAATTTCTTTAAGCATTTATCTTCTAATGTTTAAATCAAATTACAATGTAATACTTTTTGCACTGTGGTGTGCAGACAGACAGCAAATAAATAAAAACAATTGGCAGAAAAATAATAATTATAGGAAGAAAATTTACAGTTTGCAAAACAGTATTTTAACATCTGTTTCTCAGCATAGGGTGGCCTTTTTCAAATAGAAAATTAAAGGGAAAAATACAAAAGACAATTAGTAGTTTTCCACGGCAATATGGAACCAATATTCAAGCTGTATTTGTTAGGTTAAACATGCAACTTGGTTTTCACTCACTTTTGGGAGAGACTCATTTTTTTTTATAATTAAAAGGAAAAAGAACCAAGTAAGGTAAGACAAATAATAGTATATTCAATCATTGCACCAAACACAAGACTCAGTGAATATTCTGATGAACTCTTCAGGGCAACTTAACAAAATTCTTACACTCCTAAATCCCCACATCAGCCCTCAGTGGGGTTAAAGGCATCTCATTCCACAGGCACCTGATTGCTCTAGTAAGTCAGCACTCCGAATGTAATCTTCTACCTTGAGTTTTCCCATGGTTTAAATGTTATATCCACATATAACTGGAACTTTACTACATAAGATTTTACCCAAACAAATAAAAAGGAGAATTCAGGGAAGAATCTTGTTCTTAAAAGAGCTTCAATAGTTATATACTCCTATTGAAATAAGTAAGGTTACAGCCATATTTTCAGAAAGTACATTACAGATCTTTATATGATTAGCAAGGAACAAACATGAAATATATTGTCCAGCCAAACTACTAGGATGTTTTGACAGAAATTTCTCAAACAACAGGTAAACAAACAACTTCAGAAGAGCTCTTCAAGATGTAGTACTGACAAGAACAAAGACCTAGCAGAAAACGTGAAAGCTGAAAACAATTTAAATTACAAGGATCACCGAATATATCTTGAGAAACAGAGATGGTGTCAGGGCAAAAACTATGTATGAAAATAGTTGTTAATAAACTTGGGAAATTGATATTAAATATCTCAAAGATAACAACTGTAAGAAAAACAATTTTTTCAGGTGAAATTACAATTTCTTAAAGAAATCACACCATTGGCCAAGCAGAAGCTGTGTTATGACAAAACATAATGTGTTTTTTTTTTCCTGGGGGAGAAGCAATTTTCTTCATGTTAACTAGTATGGTTTGGATTTGTGCTCATATCAGGGTTATAACACAGGAATATTTTCATTACTGCTGAGCAGTGCTTACACAGTGTCACAGCCTGTTCTGTAGGCATGAAGGAATTCCAGTGTAGCTTGGAATGCTCATACGCACAGATCTGAGACATTTGCTCTCAGAGCTGATATTTACAGTCTTACACATCCCCCAGTCTCTGGAATCCTGGCAAGATTCTTGACAACATTTTTGTCTCTGTCTTCCATTCCAAGCAATCCTGAGTTATCTGGGACAGAATTTATATATGTGCAATATCAGGGAGGACATATATTTGTCAATTTATGCTTTTAATTCTCCTTTACTTAATGAGTACAGCAGAATTTTCTTCATTGAGCAATTCAGCTCATTGATACATTCCTACACATTTTTCTATCAGATCATTATAGACATCATCAGACATTTTATCTGTTCTGCTGAAGCGTTTTTATATTTTGTTAAAGAAAAATAAAAAAATCCTGCAACCCTTTCTGGAATTCTTAGCTCCAACTCCATATCATTCATATTCTTTATTCTGGCCAACTTGGATAAGGCCTACAGTAGTAGTTTAACGATTCTCAACTTTTGCTGAGAAGACTGATCAATAAGTTATTAATACTCTCTTAATGCGTTGCCAATCCTACATTAAGTAATTTCTTACTGCTACTTTTTCTTATAGTCTTCTACTATACAAAACATTTGGGTTTTTTTCTCTTCAGACCTTTCACTTGCTAGGTAAAGTGATTTTTGACTTAACTTGAGCAGGGTTGGTGTTGGCAGCTTCATCTGTAATAACTCTTATTAATCCCAATGTCTTCTCTACTTTGCTTCTTCCTCAAGTAATACACATTCTAAATACTGAACATGGCATTCAGGTATTCTGAACAAGTGCATGCAAAGGGTTTTACATGCTTCATTTGCTCAAGCTTTAAACTTGTATAATGGGCTAACATAAAACTAGTTGCTAAACAAACTCTCAGGAAAGTCTCTATTCATTAAATGTACAATCACCATAGTTTCTTGGTTGATTATCACTTCCACCAAAATTGTTTACTAGGACAATTATCATTGATTAGGGAGGTGGAGTTTTTAAACTGAGTAATATATAGATTGGCAGTATATTGGTTTATACTCAGTTTAGCATTATTCACAATTTATTTTTGTTCCTTCAGTTCCTGAAAACATGACCCTTAAAAATTACTAGACCACATCACAAAACCAGTACTTGAAATCTTCTAAACATCTTCAGCTGAAATTAAGTCTTTCAACTGGACACATCTCCCCAGGAAATCAGGGAAACACCCTCCGTAAGTGCTTTTATTATTGCTTGGAATGACATGAGTAGCTTGGTAACAAAAAGTCACTGATTAAACACTGACTGTAGATTCCAGAATGAATCCTCAGGAAGACACAACATTTCCAGGAAATATTGCTACACTAAATTAACAAAAGGTTAGCTTGTTACAAAATTTTAAGATCAAAGTTATCATTTAATATCTCATAAAACTAAAATATCTTTAGTGAAGAGCCCCATCCCAAGCCAGATAAGTGAGACTGCAGATAAACTTGTAAATGCAACAAATAATTTTTCTGAGAAAATTTACTGAAAAGTAAACTTACCTAAAATGCTAAGTTTATGCATATAATGCATATAAAGCTATGGCTACAAGGAACAGTGGAATCACAGGTAAATTAAAAACCATATCTGCAAATAGAAGATAAATCTTTGAAAAGTAATTATTATTGTAACTTTACAGATTGGTTTTAGTTTTAAAAATGTACAGCTAATGCTTGAATAAAAACACACTTTTTCTAAAAAATAATTTTTTTCAGCTTCCTCTTTTTCTTGTCAGATTTGAACAATAAATATTTACTTGAATTATTCCTGTGAGTTATACTGTATTTCACCTACAAGGTATTACTAGAAATTACAACAAAATTTAAATTTCAAGCTATTTTATTTTTAATAATATTAATCTACATGTAAATTTTTCCTTCATAATTTCAACATGGAATAGCATATTTTAAAAAGAATTTAAAATTTATTACTATCAGTATTTAGAAAAGCAAAACAAAGCAAAAGAATTTTAATAAATAAACAAAAAGAAAGTGAAGGTCTAAATTTATTCTTTTAATTCTAATATTTTTACTATATATTAATTTTAAATTTGGCCATTGAAAATCCATGCTTGGGCATCCAAGAGAAAAGGGAGAGAAATTATGCACTATCCACTTGAGAAAGCAGTATATATCAATAAAATACAATGTGGGAATACTATACTTTGAACTAAGTAAAATTGTTTAAAAATTTATTATGAGTATTCCTTCTAATTCCTTCTAAATCTGTTCCTATTTCAAACCAACTTTTTAAAGGAAGTACAATAAAAAAGGTAATTTCACTTTTCAAATGCAAACTAACAAAAACTACTAAATTTGAGAACATCATGCACCTTTCATAACTTTCACACATTCCTTGGAAAAATTAAACTTGACAACTGTGAGCTTTTCTGAGCTTTGATGTAAGCAGATACAGAAAAGTACATAAAAGCTACACGAGAAAGGAAACAAGCATTTATTTCAGAAGAACAGGGCAAAAGAACCAGTATGATAACATGTACAGGCTGGTATGAAATTAGCATTAAAAAAAGCCCTAAGTACCATGCACATACCTTTATAAACATGGAAATTGAATTCCATAGTTAAAACTCTCTCAAGTTGGAAGTAGAAGATATACAAGAACAAAAATATTTAGATACTTACATATAAAGTCTAAAGAGAAGAAATGTTTCAGAGTTCTGGTAGGAGTCAATTTAGGAGAATCAAATAATAATAAATCCTTTTTACTGAATTTGAAAAGTTGTTTTCTGTAGGTTTTTTTGTTTGGTTTGTTTTTTAAATGCAGAATATTCAAAAAGTAGACTTTTTAAATGAGAAAGATATTCTGAAGTTTCAATGTAGATAGTTTTAAAATAAAACAAAGCAATAGTATCAAAAGGATTGATGTATCCAAAGCTATAATTATAAAAGATAAAAAACCAGCATACTTACTATTTTTGAAACTTTTCCCCCCTTCCTTAAAAAGACCTGGCTATCTCTCCAGTGGACATGTTCAGTTGGTGCTTGGGGCTGCTATGGGTTCAGAACTTGGAAACCAGACAGGTTTCTTCACAAACACTACATGTAGGTGGATTTCTGAGACAGGTTGAAGTCCTGAGAACTCCTGTCCCTGTCCAGAATAGAGCACTGAATTGCTGAGAAACCAAGGAATAATCTTTCAGCTAGCTACATGTAAAATGCATTACAAAGAACTCAAGACAAAAAGGTGCACATAGTTCTGTCCTTAGTTAAAGTAGATGAATTTATGAATCACAGTTCATACTTTATTATTTTTACCATCAATATATTTTTCTTCTTCTAGAGACTCAGCCACCAGTAGAAATGCAGGGTATACTTACAGATGCAAAGATCTAAATGACTGCAAAATATAGGAAGAAAAAGATATTGCTCTGAATTTTAGAAACAAAATTAAAAATAAAAGAAAGACTGGGATATTTAAATGAAAAGTGAGTATTAAGGCAAACTACAGAGAAAAATGATTAAGGCTCCCCAGCTGGAAGTCTACTATAGACGATTGTAGGGAATTCTCAAAGTGAAAAAAAAAAATCATAGGAAAACCATATGAACAGCTTAAATGCTAGAATTGCCTTTTCTTTTTTCATTTTAGCAAGATTTTGCAGACTCAAAAAAGGAGAGAAAAGCTGATGATGTGGGTATATTTTTAGGAGCTTTAGTATTTTATATTGTTCTTTTGCATTGCTACAAAAATGAATATTCAATAATATGTTTTCTGTTCAACAGAAATGAATTTTTTAAGCATAAAAAAGACAAAACTAGCAAATAAAGCTAGTACATGTGTTTCTGCACCAAAAATGGTATGGGTTCTTTTTACTGTTCCAAGTACAGCTCCTCCAATCTGTACCACTTCTTCTGAGTATCATTCTTCATTGCTGAAAAGAGTAACTGCAATTACCAAAACTTTTACTAAACAATAACTGAAGTAAAAAAGGCAGCTACAAGTGAGCAACTTGTAACACCAATTTAAAGTCCTTTTTCTTTATATTGCATTATTTAGACACCTGCAAAGAGGATGGATACTTATAAAAGACCACTAACCAAAAGTTAACTCTTAAGAGAAAGGGTATCCTTGATTACAGAAGGCACCTTTTCTCTTAAATCTCAGGAGTCTTCTTTTGCGAGTTTTACCAGATTAAAATCAGTGCTCATTGGCAGCACTGCTATTTACATTTGTGCTGTTTACCATTTCTTGAGCTAATTATTTCAACCAAAATCATGCCAGCATCACTATATAAGAGCAATATGATACTTGGAGTATATTAACTCAAACCTCATCAACAGGCAGATGTTAAAACACAAACAAACTTGAAACACCCTAAATTATTGAGTGTTTCTTATGTAATCTTGTGGGAATTGATCCTTGTCGCAGCATTGTTATCACAATCTGGAATCAAGCGCGCAATGACGGCTATTGAAGACTGCAGACACAAAGGCTGGTTCATTACTGAGTTACAAAGGGAGCAGGTCACTGGCAGAGACAGGACTTTATTCTGTAAAGCAGGAATTCTAGCAGCCATTAGGTTCACATGAATTAGAGATCAGTGAAAAGTGCCAAGAAGAATCCTAGGCAGGATATCTGGCACAAAGCAATAGCAGTATAGAGAGCATGGGAGGTCAATTGGAATTTAAAAAAAAATTTACTTGATAATGCAGTAGTTTTTACGTGTAGAAAATATGTGATAGTCAGTGGGGAGAAAATTGAAAATTTACTTGATAATGCAGTAGTTTTTACGTGTAGAAAATATGTGATAGTGGGGAGAAAATTGCAACATCAGTACTCTAAAAGATATGCTTTTACTATAAGAGTATATATGACATTCATTTACATTTCATGAAAAAAAAAAGAAAGAAGGCCTTATAAATTTATAAACTAAATTATAACTATAGTGTACCATTACTATAATTAATGGTACAAGAGGAAGTTGTGGCAAATCTGTGCTTGTCTTAGCACAACAAGAAATTACATCTGAAAGTGAGTCAGCGGTGTTCCATTTTATATATCTGGTGTGTATTTTTCAATTAGTGAAATAAAGAAAGTGAAGGATTTGCAAAGATTTTTCTATCACTTGTAAATAGACCTTATAAGCAGTGAAAAAGTTACCCACTGGATGAAATTATATGACCCATGTTACATAAAAGGTTAAAAGCACACTGGCATTTGTGCCTATGTACCTGTAAAAATTCAATCTATTTTGAAAAGTCATAATATATGTTAGTAGGTAAAAGTTTCTTAATAAAGTATGCAACCACCAGGAAGCAGATTCATTTTTAATACCTGCAAATTCATGATAATGGCAGCAGCAGAAAAACACACCCAACAAAGTTCTGGAAAGTTTTAAATTTGCATTGCAATTAAAATTACTATTTCAAAATTACTGCGAGGAAATAAATGAACATTTATTTTACATAAATAAATGTATTTATTTATAAGTAAAAAATACCTCATTCATTGCTGTGAATTTGTCAACACTTACAATAATAAAGAAGTTACTCAAATTGTTTCTTCTGGTCTAGTTCAAAGGACAAATCAATTAAATATGTGTATGACTAAAAATTTCCTCTCCATAACTGAGCAATAGCTATTCTAAATAAATGTTAAATACTTTGTACTTTCCTTTGAGATGTTAGAATAGCAAGCAAATGCAATAAATTTTTGCTGGCTAAAATCATCAGGCTAACAGACAAAACACATTTTAAAACCAATTATCTTTTTTGATCTCATATGACACTGAAAAAATCAGCTTTGTAAAGAAGAAAACATTTCAGTCAATAGTAAGAAAAGTTAAATTACTAATCAATTAACTCTAAAATTGGGATAACCTGCTCACAATGAAGGTAACAGTAAACATCCATGACTACCTTATCAACAGGTGTTCACTCATGACACCAAAAATTCCAAGTAATTCCAAGTAAATTCCAAGCAATGGTAACGCACACTGCAAGCTGTTCACGACTATTGCCATTAGTGTGTCACATTCTGTCAGTTTTTCTGCATAACTCTATTTCAGGGAAAGCAAATACAATTGCTTACCAAGATGGTCGTGACAATTAAAGAGCGATTGGACAGGGAATCTGTGATGTTTGCTGGTTTTCCTTTCTGATTCTCTGTCATGTTAAGGCCGCTCAATGGATCCCAAGTTCCAACCTATAAAACAGTAAAATACTGTGTAAATCGCCCATTAGTTACATTTCAGCACCTAGAAAAGAATACTTTAAGGAAAAAAACAGATTCTTACCAATTGATTGCTAAGAATTATTACTAAATTTTGTTTCATTTTCCTCTGTCATTACATTTAAAGTATGCTTATTTAAAATATGTTTAGCAATACCTTAAATTATGTTTTGTGAAGTGTAACATTAGGTGTAAAAATTATATAAAGAATACCTAAAGCTACTTTTTATACTTAGTTTTCCTTTTCTCAAGATAAACCACATCTGAAGATAACACGGACAAATACATTTGCAGAGAAGAGAGCATTGTCTCTTCAAAAGGATTTACACTTTTCTGTGATCAGAGAGAAAAGCAGGACAAAATATATTTTTGGGAAAAAGCAATAGACAGAAACAGGCAATAATTTAATTTATTTACAGATAAATCTTCAACACATGAGTATTTTGACATTTTATACTTCAAAATAAAATCTATGGGATTTTTATCTAAGTAAGAACATCCAAGGTTGTGCTTTAAGGTTCATTTCATACATACTAAGTAGTAAGTAATGAAGCTTATCTGTAACTTATCTGCATTTTCATTCCTATACAATTATAATGGTAAATATAACTACCCATTTCAGAAATCAGAATGTTTGTATTACTCCATTGTCTAGGAAAGCCCCCACAAATATTATGTTGGTCTTATTTTGGTTTTAGACATGATTTTAAACATCATCTCAAATACTAAGTGATATCTATAACACAAGGTAAAGATATTTTAAAAGTAAACCTAGACAAAAATTAAACATTTCTATAAGGATTCATTGCAAATATATGTATGTATGTATATAAACACACACCATTTTTTAAATTATCTTTTCAACTGAGTCCTGAGAGACTGTTTGTTTACTTTTACTTTGTGATTTGTTGCCCCAGGGCTGTAAAGTAAGTTTAGGATGCAATGTGGTGAGGATAAAAAGAGTTCCATTTCTAAAACTGAGACTGCAGCAGAGCATGAATCAGTGGGTGCTGTAATAAAGAAAAGACATATTTGATCTCTTTTTCAACAATTTTCTGTCCCACAAGAATCAATATTTTGTCTGTCTTCCTTGCTTAACACTCAGTTCCAAGAAGTCACTCTTTTGAACTTGGCCATTCAGTACCTCATAAACTGATCAAAGAATCATGAAGGGAAGAAACAATATGTGTATCTCAGTAATACAACTGGAAAATAACATCTACCACATCATTTCAAAGTATTGAAATCAAGCTTTGCTACCAAAAAATCTCTCCTTCATTTACTGTTGTAATACAATTTGATTTAGTGAATTGAAAGGCTTTCAGAAAATACAAAATGTTCAGCCTTGCAGCTTGGCCACAATCAAGAAATATTAAAAGGGTTGCTAACATTTAATTGCAGTGTTCTGCTAATTATGACAATCACAATGTTTGCTTTACTGCAAAGATGAAACTAGAGTAGAATAACAAGGAATGACAAAAACCAGAACTTGAGCCTGATGCCGTATCACTGAAACTGAATTAATCTCTTCTATGAGATATAACTTCAGGTACACAAGTAGCACAAAAATTTCTGAGGAAACACCAACATCTTATATGATCAGTTTCAAATCCAAAATTCATTATATCATTTGCTTTGTTCAAATTCATGTTTATAATTCAAATTTAGACTGGCAAAAGGTAAGACATTGCTAACAAAAATACATCCTCTCCTACTTTTTGACATAGTCACAACCACAAACAAAAGAATATCAACTGTTAGAATTTGGATGTACAGGCCTAATATACTGAAGACGTATAAGAATTATCAACAGCATTACAAAAAGAAACTTCTGTCTTGATAAATTGATTTATTATTTTTCTAATTAGATTCATTGTATTTTTTCTGCTGCTATTGTTAATCAAAAATCTAAGAAATGGACCAAAAGTCAGAGGTTCAAAATTAGACTTTCTTTGGATTATCTTTGTTGATGAGCTCAAACCCAACAATTTGTACCACAGGTTCTTATATGTCACTCATGTGTTTAGCTCTCAAATCACACAAATGTATTTTCAAAGCTGCTTCTTACAGAAAAGTTATGCAAAAACAATGCAGCAAGTTAATTATTTTCTAGTTGTTTCAGCAAATTGTTTTAATTTTTAAGTAGCTTTTTGAACGGAATAGAATTTCCAGTGCTTTTACTAGAAAAGCTTAAATGCCAAAAATGTAAGAAAAGTGCATCAAGGTAGTCTATAACCGAAATTCAAACAAGCTACTATTTAACTTATTGCATCACACTTGTTTCAAACAAACTTACAAATTTTCCTAAAACGTGAAACAAGTATTCATATATACACTTTAGAGAGAACCTTCACACAGTAAATATATTGTAAATATTGACTATATTGTCAAGCCCCCTATACCCTATTATTCTAAACGGCTAAACTATTCTGAAGTGACCACGACAATCTGAATATTTTAACACTTATTATCCAAAGAACAGGATCCAAGCCAGGTGTACCCATGAACATGTGCTCCACAGTGAGACAAAGAAAAATGACAGAAAGAATTAGCTTGGGCAAGAATCAGCTTATGTAAGTTGAAACAATTCCAAGAGCTACATTCATCATTGAATATCACAGAGTATTCTGTAACATGGTCATTGCAGTGGTCCTCAAGAACACAGAATACAATTTCCCAAATTCATGTGAAGTGTTAAAAACTTGCATCCAAGCTTCCAGATTTTGACTTCCAGGCAACTATCAGGGTTACTACAGTCCCTCAAAACCAGATATTCCCACCCAGCTGGACATGCCCCCCCAGCACCACTTTGCAGCTCTGCAGGCTATGGAGGCCTTGACTCTGTATAAGAACTGCTTAGCAATTGCTCAAACACTCCTGTGTTATCAACACTGTTTTCAGCTCAAATCCAAATCACAGCCCCATACAAGCTGATATGAAGGAAATTAACTGTGTCCTAGCCAAAACCATCAAAATATTTCACCATGCCCTCCAAAAAAGAATCATTGTACACTCTTGAAACTTAAAATGTGCTGAGTTTACATATGCTCTGGAGCACTTTACACAGATTCAGTCTCATGAGATGCTAGTCCCAAAAATTCAGCGGCTTTCTTCAGCATGTTTCAAAAGCGATTTATCTTCATGAATAGATAAGTATTCTTTCAAGTATTATTCTTTTTGATTTTTCTTCAAAGTTCTCCTGAGAAAATTAACATTATTTTTGCTCTGAGTCAATCAAAACTGTGAATATGACTCACAGTGAAGTGCCACAAGCATTGTATTAGGAAGGATCACTGCCTTTCTGCAGTGCTACCACTGACTAAGCAGCCAGAACCATGATCAACTCTCAGAGATTTGTCAAATTTATCTATACCTTCTTTTTTACTTTTGTGGAGTAATTAGTAGTAGTGGTGATTACATCAAGGAAACAATTATATTCCATTAGGAATAATAATGTTTCTTCATATTTCTGTATTTCCCCTTTGCAAATTGCTTAATTTATTTTCCTTTCTTCGGTAATATTAATAATCATGCCTTTGCCAAATATAGCATAAATAACAATACTTAATACTTCTGGATCCCACAGATGTACTATGTCTTTCCTTTTTTTTTTCCCCTCTCTTTTTTCTCCCTTCACAACCCTATGAAGGTTTCTGAGCAAGGCTTCAAGCCAGTTGTAAGATCTCGTATTCAGGATATGTGATTCTTCTTCAGTGACAAATTTTCATATCAAAAGTGATATTAAATTCAGATATTTGTTATCTCCTTGAAGTATAAAATAATTTTCCTCACAATGCAGCCTCAGTGTAAAGACTGATTGACTGCAAATTATAATTTATTATGCTGGAGTGTCACAGTTTTGGATTTTCACTGTGCTTAATCATGAATAGTTTCAGTCTGTCCAAAGTGGCCGTAATAAAATTTTGTGGTATATTATATTAACAGCACTCCAATCATCTCTTAATTTTGTCATGTTCATCTTACAAGGAGCTATCATTTTTGGCAGACATGAAATTTTATTTGGAAACACATACTTCTTATTGACTGATGCCTGATTATCACCTCTCATTCAAGAGTTTCAGGAACAAGTATTTTACATAAAAGCTGAGATCACACATAGAATTTTTTTTTAATCCGTGAGGAATTGTTCTGTCGTCACTGACTTCAGCAGTCATTGAACTTATAACACATGAGTTAGGCAATTTCCCAGTTATACTGGTTATACTAACAGGTAATTTATCTAGGACATTTTTGTACAAAATCTAAGTTTAAAAAAAAAAAAGTCTTATAGCAATTCTTCACAATAAATCTTTCTCTTTTTTTTCCATCCATCATTATTTTTCTCTTCAGGGATTACAGCTGAAATTGTTGAGTTAAACAATTGTCCTTGTCAAAAGAAATATTTCTCCCTTATTTGGAAAGAGGTTAGAAGAAATAATAAAAGTTTACAGTACAGAAAGATGGCATAAGAATTCTGTGCACCATAATATGCATCTCCCCACCTTTTCTCATCCCTCAAGTGGGAGGATGTACAGAAGAAAAGGGAAAGAAAAACCTGCTCAGCAACTCTTACCACACAGACAGAGATGTCTGACAAGATGGTTTGGGAAGAACTTTAAAAACATACCAGATAAGGACAAAGATGTAAAAAGGCTCCTGAAAGAAAAAGAGAATAGACAGAAAGGGCATGGAAAGAGATTAATAGGTACAAGGGAGAGGGATTAGATGGAAAGGGAAACAGGCAGGGAGGGTCTGGGAGAGGGAGAGGGAAAGGGAAAAGGAAAGGGAAAAAAGGAGTAGCAGAAAGAAGGAGATAGAAAGATGGAGTACACATGTGGAGGGAGGTAGGGGACTGAGAGAAGGGTGACTCATCACCACCTTAAGAGAATTAAGTCTTGGAGGAAAAAAATCCTCAAAACTTTAAGACAGCTCTTTTAAATAAAAGAACTGGCTAAAATGTACTCCAACTAGGAAGTGCCCTGCTCCAAAATGTAATCATTCACTCTGGATTCAAGAAGACTAGGGTTTGCATTCTTTCAGAATAATGAAGTTTTGTTCAAAGAGAAACATTTCTCTGTGGGCATTGATTTATCTTTCTCAGTGAAATACGCCATATGTTTCATATGTTTAGTAAGCAATTCAATCGAATGTGCATACACTTGAATTTTCCTTTTCCTTATCTCATCTCCTTGCACCCCAGAGAAACTGCTCTGGTTTTGCTCATATTCAGTAACTGACTCTTTCTGTTCATTCCAAAGATTGTCAACACTTTTTGATAAAAAATTAACATTATCACTTCCATTTATCACATGACCAAAATAAGCCATGAAGGCAGCAAAATTATCTTCCTTTTCTATGAAAATCTTTCTATACAGCTCAAGCACATACTGTATTTTTTTAAATATCCATATGTTTCAAAAATTATTTGTGATTTTGTCTCTTATTTAATTTTCAATATAACTCTTTCCCAAGTTCCTTTTTTTCTATTATGTGTTTTAGAGTGCTACTGTATTTCCTGTTGAATTTCATTGTCTTTCATATTTCTCTGTAGGCCTTTTTTGTTTTATCTCTATATTTTCACTGATGTATATATCTCCTAGTGTATTGTCAACTGAGATTTTATTTTCCAGAAATCTCATGCTGCTTTGTGGTTCCCAAATGCCACCTAATGTTCTTAAAGCCATCCTAAATTACAAAGCCTTCCTTTCCTGATTTTCAACACTTGTCACTTACATGCAAACTCTTCGGCCAGTGCTGACTTATTTAGCAATGACCATGGCATTAATTCTTCCATTTCTCTTTCCAGTAAAAAAGACAGCTTGCACTGTACCTATTCTACTTGTACACAATACTGATTTACTTTTCAAGTCTAATCATTGTTTTGCCTGGCTAAGTTGCCTGAGCTCACTTTATGGGACTTCATAGGAGAAATCTGCTATCAGTGTATTGCTGAACATTTTAAAGTATAGTTTAGTTCTTGAATCACAGGTTTTCCTCTGGACAACAAAAATGTTATTACCTATGTGTTTCAAGACAAGCTCATGGCTTCTGAGCCTTTACAAATCTTCCCAGTAAGAGAAAATTAATATTCTAAAGCTACTCTTTTGAGCCAAAATATTGGGAAAGTATGGTTTTTTTTTAATGCTAGCTTCTCCATTCAGTGATTTACAGAAGAAAGAACATGCAAATCTGCAGTATGGTCCCTTCCCTTAATTTCTGTTTTTATTTGTGCCCACAATCACCTTGGGGCAACAGCTGATAGAACTTGATCTGAAGATGAAGGAAAACATAGTTCTTGCAGAACACCTAACACCAGATCTAAATGCAAACTTCAAGGCAGATGTCACTTGCAAAACCTTTGTAACCTTTGCCTGCTGGTCACAACAATGTGAGACACTGTAGCTTCCTGCCATTGCTTCTTCATGGTAAGGTGGCTGGAGGGAAGATGATCTGATTTCAGATCATGATGGTATCACATAGGCAGGCCAAATATCTGTACATTCTTCCTTAGCTCTTAAGATCAAATATAGACAATACTAAGCTACATGGAAAGAGCATTTCCCAATTCTTTGGTTTCTCACTCCACTTCTATACAAGAAACATTAATGTCAGAAGACAGCTAAACTGGTCAGGGTATCAATTCTTAACTTTTTAGTACCACTTATAGAGATATTGAGTTGAGAGCATGTACACTGTTTTACATAACACAAGAAATACTATTCTAAATATTTTTAGGGGGTGAGTTTTGTTTTGTTTTGTTTCCCACTTCCTTGGAGGCAAATGTCTTACACACCTTTTCAAGACCTTCTTCCTTGAGGCTGATGACATCCAAATCAAAATCTGTCCTTAAGCCATTTGTTTTGTTGAAAGTTATCCTGCCTGTGAGGCCTTCCCAGTGGGCCTGTGAAGAAAGAAAAAAACAATTTCTAGAAATAAATACTTCTTTCTTTATAGCTTTTTTCTCAGGAAGGACAAACTACTCCTGCCAAAATGGGATCATTAAGTTTTCATTTTGTGTAAATAATTTACTTTGTGGCTGAGTTTTTGTTTTAAAATATTTTGTATTTATTTTTTGTTAATGAAATCAAACATTTTTCAGTCTTCATGGACTGAATTTTTAAACTTTCCATATCAGCCAATAAACTCTTCAACTGAACAAGATAAAAGGCTGGGGTTTTTTTCATTCCTCCATCATTCATGCATGCATTTTCCCTTCTCCTTCCCTACCTACCTCCCCCTCCCCAATCCCCAAGTTTCAATCAGTTTCATTAATGCTGGACTTCATTTTTTTTCTCAGGAAATTTCATTCAAATAAACACTTACTCTTGGAAGATGCTGATTCCCCTGAAACCACACCGACACTGCAAAAATTGAGGTCAGTGAGCCAGCCTTCCTAAGCTTATTCCTCACTTTTAATAAAACGCAATAGCCTAATTTTTTTTTTTATTTCTTTTTTTTTATAACTTAAAATCTACTCTAGTTCTGAAACTATACAAAGTAGGAGAGAAAATGTGGGAAATAAAATTATCATCCTAGAAGGAACCAATATTGAAAAAAACCGCATTCCACTGCAACTGATCCTCCTCATCATAATATTTTGTATATCTACATTGAGAAACACTGGATGAGGAGTTACAGTATGGGAGATTTGAATAGTCTATAGTGTTCACCTTTAGCACCTTAAATCTCCTAGCTCTACTATCCCTATCTGTCAGTATCTAAACAGCATCTTGGGTAATCAAGGAGACATATAGTAACTCACCATAGAAAATGAAGAAAAATATTGGTTTTAACCAGGAAGTTAAATTAATTCCTGGCCCCTTCAAACTGATGCCATATTAAGCTGCTGGATTTCTCATAATCAGTCTACAGATTAGAGTCTCAGGTGTTTGGGTTTTTATGCCACAAAGACCAAACTATCTACAAACATAAGTTTTATTTAGAATGCAGTCATTTCACCTTTCTGTATATTTAGTTCCCAGTAATACTTCAGAAAAATCCACTTTCAAATTAAAATGCTGTCTTGCTTGTTAAAGTCCTTATACATAATAAGATGACAGATGACCATCTACTGAAAAAAGCCCAAAAAACCCCAAATGGAGTGAAAGCAAAAGAAAATGGGGACTGTGAGAAAAGAAAGCAGGGGAGCAGGACCCGTTATTAATGACTTACCTCCTTGATGAGGCTCATGAAGCGTGTCCCAAAGCGCCATGGCTTGTGGCGGTTGCACTGCAGCGAGCTGACGGTCATCTGTGGGAACTGCTGGACCGCCACCGACACCACGTGCACCGCGTCGTACATCAGCGCTGCGTCCGTCTGAAATGACAGCGGCACCAGCACCGTCAGCGCACAGCAAACGCGTGAGACAGGACAGCAGAGAGAGAAGGAAATAATAAATTGGCACTGCTCGTTCTGCTGAAGGGAAAAAAATGGTCCAGTTCCTTGCACAGCGCTGTAAAATGTAGCCTTGTTGCCATGTCACACGTGAATTATGTCAGGATCTCCAGGCAGCCTCAGCTTTCCTCTTTTTAATGCTGTAAAAAGGGCCCAAATAGCTACTTTTCAGGATCATGGGAGTACACTAGTATCTGATGACTCAAGTTACTTTAAAAAGAAGTACGTTAGGGAGGTATATAAATCACTGTGTGCATGCTTGATTCAAGTTGGTTATTTTCATGAGTGATGCAAAAGAATAAAGGAAACAAGTGAGAAAACCTTAGCTATAAAGGAAAGTGTACAGGTTCAGGAAGTAATGTTTTTTGTTTTGGAATTACAGACGAGATTCCATCCCAACAGTACTCAATTGAATCATTAATAATTTTTAATGTGCATGAGTTCAAATCCCTATGGCAGAACTAATCAATATCTTCAATAAATCAGAGGTAGACTAGAATTGCATGAAAATGCACATTAATTTTAATAGTTTTCATGCCCCATCCTAAATAAATAGACTTAGACATAGTGTTTGCTAAGAAATGTTGTATTAACAAAGGACAGAGACAGCCTCTCAGTACACACTGTCATGCAGTACAAGTGATATCTCTCTCCTGTTCTCCTTGACAAGCAGAGGCCTGGTAAGCCTCAGAACCAAAAGCACGAGAGGACCTTGGATTCAGCTGGTGGAAATGAGTGCTACACCATCTGCTCAGCATACCTTAGAGAAAAAAGACCTATTTCCCCTTCTCATTCACATAATTAGTGAGCTGTGAAATTAGTTCTTTAATGGATAGGAAACCTGGAGATTATTGCACTTGTCACAACACAATACAATGCAATACAAAATGAGCTTATATAGTGCCTTTCATGCAAAGGCATCCCGAGGCTCTTTACAATAAAACTAAACATAAAAATGCAAAAATATTCTACCATTATAGCCCATAAGCTACTGTTAAAAAGAATAATACACGTTCACATTTAAATGGCTCTCCCAAGGAGAGATTTCAGAATTCAAACAGAAATAAATCCTAATTTCAAAAAAGCCAGCATAAGAGGTTTCAATGATCTCAGGCTCCAAGCAGTTTATGTAGGGGCTCCAAATCAGTCAGAAAATATTTTTGCTGCCAAATTGTTCATTATCTTCAAGGCATTAAAGTGCTTTTAAGGCAAGCTGATATTTGACAAGGAGGCAGTGAAACACCAGAAAGTTGGAATGACATGCTGAGTAAGCGTCATGAAAAGTTTAATATTCTAGAAGCAAGACTTGGCAGTAGCTGAAGTCTAGACAACAGCTCTTTTAATAAGTACAACACATAAATCTGACTCAGAAATGCAAACTGGTTTTTAAATCAGTTTAATTTCTAAAACTGTAGTCCTTGTACCAATGAAGGAAAATAGAAATTGCTCTGAGACTTTAGCAAAAATATCCCACAAAGTAGCAATCAGAAATTCAACACCAGCACCAACTGATTAATTATATGCAAATTTGGAAGCAGAACTGTTAAGACTCGTCAGAAGGAATCAAATGGATGGACATCATGCCAGATGCAGAACAACATGGCATTCAGTTAAATTCTATAAGCCACTGAAGTGGAAATCTGTAGGATGACAAAAAACATCCAAAGATGTCAAAGGCACATGATAAGCTCTAGCAGATACACGTTGTGAGGCATTGGAACAGGGTACTCAGAGATGTTGCAGGTGTTCCCATCGCTGCGAGTGTTCAAAGCTAGTTTGAATGGAGCTCTGAGCAACCTGGTCCATGGCAGGTTGGGTTGGGGTTAGATGATCTTTAAGGTTCATTCCAACCCCTTAACATTCTGATTCTGAAAACATGTATTCATCAAAGACAAAGCAAATGAGGAAGAAAATGCAATAGTGTCATATCCATAACTCAGTTGACAAGCCCTGTCCTATCAGATGGATAAATGTGAACCCATATCTACCAGTTATTCCTGTCATCAATATAAAACTACAAACACATCACAAATTAAGTATGTCTAGATTTTCTTGCAAAGACAAATACGTTGCTAAAATTATTTTTAAAAGTCTGAACAGTTCTTAAAATATTCTAGAAGAAAATATCCTATTCAAACTAAAACAGAAGTAAAAAATTAACCTTGAAACATAGTATTCTTATTCTCTAATCAGTTTTGTATCAAACTGAATTGGCTCATTAAAAATTTCAATGGAAGATACTGTACAGTTCACTTATTGCACAGCAAGAATGAAGATTATTTTGTTGATTAGTAAAGTATGCATAGACTTCATTACATTTTAGTTCTTATGCTATCTTTACCTGCAAATTATCTGAATAATACTTCTACAGTAAGTAGAATAGCTTATAATTTTCATAGGCAGCTCATTATTCTCTTCAAGATCATCTTTGTCTTCCTATCCGTAGTCAGTAAACTTTTAGCCTTGTGAGATAAATCCAACTACATTTAAAAGGTCAAACTGTTCATGGCATTTTGCTTAGTGTCTGATGGTCACTAATGTATTCTGAAAAATGCTGTGCATTAATTAAAATTATTCTTATGTTCTTTCAAGTGTGACTTCCTTAGTTGCATCAAGAATGAAAAGAAACTGCAAATGCTCACAAATATATACCTGCATTTGTTTCCTAGGTGACCATGACAATAATATTCAATAAATTCATAGAAGTGAAAGAACACTTTAACATTTTATTGACATAGCCCTTGAAAAGGTGTGAACACAATGAAAGCAATTTATATAAAGTCTCTAATCCATTGTGAAACTTATTTCATCATATAAAATAAATAGTTTGTTACTGACTGGATTTCAGATCATAGTATCATCTGAAACAAACTTAATTCAGACTGTCTGTGGTCACTGGACATGTGGTAATGTCCATTTCATACTGCAACAAGCTTTTCTTGCTAAGTTTGTATTTATGGCACTTGGCCTTCCAAGACTTTAGAACAGAATGAGAATGTTGCATTCCTGTTTCGCAAAAGGAGTATAAGTACACAAGGCAGGGCATGTTCCATAAGGAATGAATTTTCCATTAGCCCTTAAAAACTGTATATTATTTCTTACACAAGATTAGTTCCTGGGATAGAACACTGGATGCAAAGTCAGATTGTTGGATTAGGGGGGTTTTTAACTCCCAATATATCCAGTCTATTCATAGTCAGGTTTATGAAGGACAGAAATGACGTAGTACAATTTGGAGAGTAAGAACAGCAGGTGTTCTTTAATCTAAGAGCCTGAGCAAATAGTACATACTGCAGGTACAATGAGCAGGACAGCTTAATCAAATCTCCTCCCTCCCCAGCATAACTGTTTTAGGGAAAAGGAACATTACTTAGTCATCATTGCACAGTAAGGATTTGCAGTGTAATACTTACTCATTTCAAAACCATCAAAAATGCCCTATAATCACCTTAGCCTATGAGCAGTACTTCTCCTTTGATAATTACTTACTCTTCTCTTTTATATTGAGTGACAATTTAACGCCCAATACATAGTTATTATGTAGAAAACCTTGAATAAATGGGATATCTCATAAACAAAAAAAAAACACTTCAGTTTTTTTGTTCTACCACCTGCCTTTCATTTTCCCCATACTACTCTTTTACTTTAAGTTATTTCCATTGTGAGCACAGTGAACAGAAATAGCCCTCTGTCGAAGGGGTTTTTTTGTTATCATTATTTTTCTTTGAAGACTGATTCTCTTATAGAAGCTTCCTCTGCTTCCTTTCTTTTGAACAACATAAAAAACTTTATGTGCAAAAAGTCTGACAACACCTAGAAGTCAAGAAGAAAAGACTACCTACAGTGCAGGAGAGGTCCTCATTACTGGCACTATTACATTCCTTAAAGTATGTCCTGTTTGATAAAAAATTAAAAAGTTGAATTTAATATAAATTGAATAGTAGTTCTGTAGTTTATTGGATATAAACTACACAAACAATAGGTTACATATAAAAGTAAGATTATTTTTACTTATAAAAATCTGTAGTTCTTTTATTTTAGAGTCTACTAATGCTTGATCAGAAAATTTTAAGGGCTAGATCTCGAATTTTGTTAGGACAATATGATTTTAATCCATGAAAGAGAGTAACTAGTAACATAAGAACTTTTTCCCCCAAATTATCATATAATACGGTGCCAATGGTGCTAACATCACTCTCCTTAATTCACTACTTATTCTTGATCAGATGCCTCCAAACTCTACTTTCAAATGTACCTTACAAAGAGATTTTTCAAGAAGGTCCAGAACAAGAGATTAATATTGAAGAAAGAATTTTTTCTTTGTCTTTCCCAGGTGTGTTAAAGAACACAGAAAGGGAGCATGAATGAAAAACATTGCAAAACAAACAAAAAAACTCTTATAAATCCAATAGGAGTCATTCTATCTTACTGATAAATGTGTAAGTTGTATTAGATTTAAATATCTTTAACAACCATAAGAAGAACTTCTGCACAAGCCCATCAACAAAAGACATTTCAGTTAGATGATACCCGACGAGTGCAGCACCATGCACACAAATTCCAGAGACCAAGCACACTACTACTACTCACAAAAAGCTCTCCCACACTCAAGGCAATTATAACAAGTGACTGAAATTAAGAAGAAATGGCTTGCAAAACTATTTCCACCCCTCCCCAGCTAATAAAATCTATTGCCCCTGAAATCATTTCACTTAATTCTCACTTGCTAACACATCCCACAAAACCATTTTGCTAAGTGAGATTTAATAAATCTTTCAGCCTGGGATTAAATTTTACTGTTTTATGAACTGTTAAATTGCATTGTATGCTTATTAATGCTCATGTTTTCTTACTTCTTGACAGATTCTTAATTCCACTCTAGGGTACAATTATGAAAAGAGTACAGATATGTTTTTCCCCCC